CTGGAGAATGAGAATATTAGTAGAGATGCAAAAAGATTGAATTTTGGAAATTTTTACTAGAATCGAAGTATCCTCATCGAATCGTCATTCTAAAAAAGGCTCATCGAATTATTTTCATATTCGGAAAAACGTACTTGTATAAATCATTTTATTTTATTTCAAAGATTCATAAAATCCAAAGCCCAATCAGTATTATCTAACCAGCATCTCAAAGAATTACTTACTGTGAAGTGCTGTCAACAAGTATTCACCAAATTTTATTAGGACTTATCAAAAGAAGTAAACTAAATATGTTTATTTTTTTAATATTTAAATTAAATATATTTATATGTTTTTTCTTCTTATTAACACATTCCTTATCCCTATAATATGGTCAGATCATATTTTTAATAAATATAATTTCTATAAAAAAGTTTTTTAATACCTTTTTCGCATAGTTTTTCAACAATTGCGGCTCGCGAAAGAAATTTTGAAAAATGACTCGGACTATCAAGCACCTTGATCACCTCTTTAGACTTTTACTCTTGTTTGGTAAAACAAAACTTCTTTAATTACATCGTAGATCTTGGTCTGCCTGGCTTAAATCGTGACTTGAGTCACAATATTAAAACTAGCAAGCTTGTTTAGAACTAACCCTGTACAGAATTAATCCTTTAAAACTTTTTGTAATTAAAATATGATAAATATAACAAAAAAAAAGATACATATGCTGCAATATTGTGACTAAATTATAACCATATCAATAATTAAAATTACCAAAAATCCCAAAAGAATCGTAATCGGTCTTAGGTTTTAATTTGGCGAGAAGATAGAATGGGATGTTAGGCAATAATAGTACAAATCTATTGTATTTAAACACAACACATCTGTTATTTATATTTTGCACCGGATCTACGACCAAATAAACAGATAATAAAATATATCAAATTGCATATATGATGTGTGACCTGAATATTTCGTAATCAAAAATGTATTTCAATATATAGAACGTAAATAATAGAGGAACATGTAAATATGGAATAAAATTGAATAATGATTTTTTGTCGTACAAATACCTAAATTGCTAACCCAATAAAAGCAGTTTAAAGTAATATTGAAATTAAAACAACTCTATAAATCCAGCGCTTTTTGTTATATTGTAAGTCTTTACACTAAACTATATACGCGTTCTAAAGCATTTCAGCAAGACAAAAACCTGCGAACAAATGCTTTGACAAAAAATGATTTCCCATTGTCATTCATATATGAGAAATTTCATAAGATTGAAGAAAAGAAACAACAAAATCACCACCAGCAATCCAAAAACAGTCTAAAGATGAGACTCAAGGATCACAAGAATAAAATATGTATAGGGCTTATCAGAAAAATTAAAAACGACAAGCAATAAATACGTTACAAGAATATTCAAAATAAACCCAACCGCTCACAAGGAAGATTAAAGCCTGCATCTATAAAATACCCTGCAAATGCAAGAATTTCTATTTGGAAGAAACCGCAAGACCACTCTTCTTCTTCTTTAACTGCCCTGTTCGTTGCGAACGTTTGCTATTAGCATGGTAATTCTGATCTTGTTTGCGGCGCTTCTGAATAGTTCGACCGATGTGAGCCCGAACCACTTCCGCAGATTTTGGAGCCACGAGTGTCTTCTCCTGCCTGGCCCTCACTTACTGTCTATTTTCCCCTGTACAATCAATTGTAGTAGACGGTACTTATCGTGTCTCAATATGTGGCCTAGATATTCAAGCTTTCTTTGTTTAATTGTATTCATGATTTCTTTCTCCTTTCTGATTCTTTGGATTACCTCTATGTTGGTGACATGTTCGGTCCAAGATATACGAAGAATGCGTCGGTACACCCACATTTCGAATGCTTCTAGTTTTCTCGTGAGCGTCTCTGTCAGCGTCCAGTCCTCCACACCATATAGTAAGATCGGAAAAATGTAGCATTTTATTAGACGTAGTTTTAGGGGAAGAGACAAATCCTTGCTTATGAGGAGCTTTTTCATATTGCTAAATGCTGCTTTAGCTCATTCTATTCTCGCCTTAATTTCTGTAGCCTGTTCCTATTTTGCATTTACGTTGGTGCTAAGGTAAACATAAGATTCTGCATAGTCAATTAGTATGTTACTTATCTGTAATTGTCGAGTAGGTTGTTGCTTTTTGCTTATTTGGATTGAGGCTCAGTCCGTATTCCTCTCTAACTGAATAAACTCTTTCCATTAGCTGTTGTAATTCGTCTATGGTACTGGCAAGGATCACCGTGTCGTTGGCATATCTTATATTGTTCGTTAAGCAAGACCACTAAGTGTCAGAATATATGAGCACGGAACATACATCAAAAACAGGGACTTCGACTACTCACACACATGCCTGTGATAATGATACAGAGTACAATGAAAAGATGCATCAGTAATCATGAGAGAAACAGACATAAAAAGTAGTAGTGTAGCAAACCCATCAGCAGAATGTAACAGGCTTTGTTGGCCAATACTAAAAGAAGAAGTCATGAACTAGGGTCATATTCCATGATTATCCACTATAAATATGCACCACACAGTACACATACATATAATAATTGAACAGACATTACACAAATGCATAATACAAAAACAAATAATACAAAAAAAAACACAAAAAGAGTCAGAATTTCGAGGCTATTTAAATTAATCTTCAATTTCGAAGAACATAACAACTTATTTGTTATACATTTTTCGCAGAGTTATTTTAAATAATTTTTTTGAATAATTTCCGAAGTGCATATCAAAACGTCAAACAGTACGTAGTTAAAAATGTAATTTTCAGTACAATTAATTAATCCCATATAATTATAATATGTAATACAGAACAGTGGATTCTTGAATGGTACGATGTTCAAGAAATTGTAGTTATTGAAATGTGGTATTATCAAACGATATCAAGAATACCAAAGTCTCAAACGAGAATGTTCTCCTTATGTTCTTATAAAGAACTTGACATTTTCTTTCTCAAAGAATGGAAAAGAAAAGTATTTTTAAAGTGTGTGAACATTTATTTCGTAGCTGAGCGCTTTCGGCTTACAAAGCCATCTTCAGGGCTGTGCTACAATGGAACAGTAATATAGATAACTAATTTAAAGTTTACAATGTTTCACTAACGTCAAGTTTTTAAACTTGGGAAGTACCACTGTTTAGGAATAATTTCATTTTATCGGTCAGCTGAGCTGACCTGTTTCTAATGCTTCTAAGCAGCATTAGGAACAGGTCAACTACTTAAGCCAGGGTATGACGCCTGTCATTGCTTGGTCTACATATCAGCCCATCCATAACCAGATAAGATGATGAAATAAGACCCCATCTAGCCTTAGGTGCTGAAACTGTATCCCCTTGGGATACTGAAACGTTGCCGTATCTCACACGGCCCAGCAAGCAGTCTATTCCTCTGCAGATTGTTTCATATATTCCTTTCAAACAAATCATCCTTGTGATTTAATTGTAGTCCTAATGTTTCCTCCACGTCGAGAAATAGATCGAGGATCACCTATTGGTTCTTCAGAACGTACTCCACCCTCTGTATGAGATGGTCTAGTTCTGTTTTCGTAGAAATTCCCTATCGAGCAGTTTTTTAATGTCTTTAGTACAAATGATATTATATTTATTGGCCTTAGTGCATTTTCCTATCCGGTTTTGTAGATTTCGGTATAAAAACCACCCTTATGGGCCACCAAGTTTTTGGTATATACCCCAGTCCTAAGTTGACCAGTACTATTATACAAAAATTTTTGTACAGAAATTTATTTCCATTCTGTAGAAGTAGTAGATAAATTTTGTCCTACTTCTTTCGCAACAAGCCAGTTTTTCCTAGAACCATACATTTTGGTTCCCAGTCGTCTGCTACAAAGTATCTAGTGGTAGTTTTGTTTTAGATCCAGGAAAGTGGCTCCTCTTTTAGGGCCTCTTGACCATTCTGAGTCAATTCACCTGACTCCTTTTGGAGTGAAAGAATAGTTATCTAAAGGTCCTTTGAGAGAATTTTATGAAGCCTTGACATTTTTGCAGTCTGCTCTACATCCTCGCAATGCCTTATTCACCATTACCTTTGGCTCATTTCAGTTCCTTATTATATTTAGCCAGTATGATAATCGCCTCACTCACACAATTTTTTGGCGAAATTAAATTTTCTTCTTCTTTCTTCTATTAAATTAAAAAATATCAAAATTAGAAGTTCTGTCTGAATAATTCTGTACCTTTGGATAAAATCTATATAATTATAAATTTAGTGAAATGTTTTGAATATGCTAAAAATATTTGTTGCTACGTTTTAAACTGAAAGTTTAAAAGGGTATATTGTCAGCCTGCATTGGTGGAGTAATTTGCTGGATAAGAATATTTAAGAAGGAATAGTAAAATAGGGAAAACTAAAAATATATTTAAACATATTCAGGAAAAAGTGTATATATCAACAAGAAACAAAGCAACTAGGTATTAAAATAATAGAGATATGATTCTGTTTAAAAGTGGAAAAAAGCTAAAACTAAAAGGAATTAAAAGTTTTTTAAATTAATTAATGGTTTTGGATGACTTGATCCATGCAGCCATGAGAATGTATTTGACTACTTGAATTTGTTAATGATATATTGAAATATAGCATTTGTAAGCAAAATACTACTTCGCCTAGAGGTAAATTAAAATTAAAAGTTAAAGAGTAAGGTATTTAGCGAATATAAAGAAAATATGACAAAAATGGTGCGTTTTGGCCAATGAAGAAGAGACGTAAAAATAAATGTCGAAATAGATTATTAAATAATCTACACAAAAATCTATATTTAATTATCATTGATAATTGGCAAGAAAAAGTATTGGACAGAAGGAACTGGAGATAATGGTAAAAAGTATAAAGAAAAATTATAAAATAAAAATATATGTATTAATTAGAAGATAAATGTAAATAAAAAATCATCTGATACCTTCAACTCTTAGTAAGATTTATAAATAAAAAATAAATAAACTTTAATAATTTACTTACCATCTGGATCTTCAACTTTTGTTGAAAACTTAAGATCGATTCCATTTGTATAAGTGTCCACACAATGTGATCCATTGACGAAACTTTGTCCATCACGACAACACTTTTTAACACATCGTATATCAGAACAGACATTCTCATCTTTACATTGTCTTCGCACAAAACCATTTTTGGTTTCGTCTTCACAAAATTCGTCTTCAGATGTATGTCCACCCAAACTCAATACTTCAGAGTCCACAACTATTCTACACTGCGGCAATCCAACTTTTATGAGCTTGTTATGAATGAAAGTATGATCGTAATTGCCTTTAATCACACAGGAATGGTTCTTTGGTTCGTAAATGTAGCCTAAAGGGCAGCATTTTGTAAAATATGGTCCATCAAGCAGTCTTTTTTGTACAATTTTTTCTTCGAGGATTTCAAATTCGTAGTATTCGGTACTGTAATCTATACACTTTGTTGAGAGATTTGATTTTAAAATATTTACTTCGGTGGCAAAAATATCGTGTCTCTTTATCTTATCTACAATACAATTGTAAGTGGAATTTGCATACTCTTCCAAAATTTGTCCGTAATTGCAACATTTTCCGAGGGACTGGCAGTGTGAAAAAGTCACAAGAATAAAGAGAATGGACACTTTTAACAGCCACATTATTTGAAGAATTTACTCCTTTCTTAAAACTAACGCTGGCATTGTATTATTCGAAAAGTTCTTAAGATTATCGAGACCGTTTTTGAAGCGCGTGATAGAAAGCTTGCCGGCAAACTAAGCGAGTTTGAGAATGAATGAGTAATAAACGTTAGAGGATGTACCGTTGCTGCTTTTGTCTGGCGTCTATGTCATAGTGCAGGAAAATTAATATGTTTTGATCATTTAAGAAAAGGGTATACATTTTATTCTCGCTGAATCTTTTTTCTTATTATCTACGATTGTTATGTACGGAAACATTAGTGCTAGATAAGTTCCATATTCTTATACAGGGTGAATCATGAGGAACTTTACATACTTCTACCATATGTAGAGTCCCTCAGGGAGCATATCATGTGGCCACTAAAAAATGTCAACTCCTCTTCTTTATTAATTAACAGGGTGATTTGTGTAATTGATCATTTATTTCATTTTACTGTAGTGTTTATACGGCTCATTTGATTTTTTTAATTTTTGCATGATACAGTACACTACTATCAAGCATTCGACTGGTATTAGCTAAACTAAAAAATTCCAGGACTGGCTTTGGAAAAATTAATTTAGGGATTCGTATTAAATATTACACCCTGTATATATATTTTTTTACAATGCAATAAGTGATTTTCAAACTACATAAATAGCCAATGAAAACGACATATGCGACAATGTTGTCGCACTTTTATTAAATTTTTAGTGAACGATCAAATCTTACCAAAAATAGAACAACGATAATGAAGTATCAAATTATAAGGTATTAATTTAAACAAATGTTATAAATTTATAACATTTTAATTAAAATGAGTTCCTGCAACATAATCTAATACGTAGAAAATTAACATCTTTGTCAAACTCTTTTGTCTGACAAAGTCAAACCTCTTGTATGTGTTAGCTTTTGTTGATTGTAAATGATTAAAATTTTATGTCAAATAATAATACATTGCATCAACTGTACCAAATAAATCTAAAAAAGTTTAAAATGAAGGTTGGCGTTGACCGTTTGACGTTTCTTGATATTTTATACCCATTCTCATTATTGTCATTATCAATTGCTATTTATGTGTACAAGAATACATATTTCTTCTGTCATATCTACGTTAAGTACATTGTATTAGTTTTGGTAGAGCTTTTGTTACTTTCGTTCAAAATGCCACATCAGTTTTCGACCACAGAATATGCAGACATAATATTTGTTTATGGATTCTGTGATGGGAATGGTAGGGCTGCTAGTAGAGAATATCGCAGGAGATTTCCTAATCGTCGAACTTCCAGTCATCCAACATTTGGGTCAGTTTTTAATTATTTGCGAGAAAATGGCACTTTTCCTAGTGAAACAACAGAGCGACATGTAGATGAAGCGCAGGAAGATGACATTATGGACGCCGTTACTATGAACCCTACAATAAGCACTAGACAAGTAAGTCGAGAACTCAATGTTACTCAATCAAAAGTAAGTAGAGTCTTACAAAAAAATAATCTATACCCATATCACATTCAAATGGTTCAGCGACTACATGCTGGAGATGAAATCGATAGGTTGGAATTTTGTAGATGGATTAACAATAATCAACGCTATACAGGACGCTATTTACAGATGAAGCCCAATTTACCAGAGACGGGATAAATAATTCACGAAATTCACATGTGTGGGCAGAAGAAAATCCCCATGCTATTCGAGAACGTCGTTCTTAGTTAAGGTTTTCGGTTAACGTGTGGATTGATGTCATAAATAACTAATTAGTAGGTCCTCACTTTTTTGATGGTCCTTTAACAGGGCAGGTCTATTTGAACTTTCTACAAAATATTTTGCCGAATTTGCTTGCCAACGCGAACGTTGCTATCCGAGGGATGTATTTTCAACATGATAGGGCACCCCCACACTTTTTACTGGCAGTGAGACAACATCTCAATAATGTTTATGGTAACAGGTGGATAGGACGTGCAGGTCCTATTTCGTGGCCTTTCAGGATCCCCTGATTTCAATCCCGTTGATTACCATATTTGGGGATGATTGAAGCAACTAGTTTACGCAGTGAATATTAATAACCGACAACAATTAATTGATAGAATTATACATTGTTGTAGTACTATTAGAAACGATCCCCAGAGTATCCGTAATTCAATATGTCAATTAACATTTCGGCAACAAAAATGTGTACAGGCTCCAGGGTTCCATTTTGAAAATTTATTTTGAATTATTTTTATTTTGTTCCCATTATTGTATCTTTTCCAGTTCTAATTTATGGGTTTATTATAACTATGTACATATTTTTAGTTTTTTTTTTTAAATCGTTCTTCGTTATTGTTAGTAGTTACTGTTTTTTGTTGTGCAGTGACTCAGTTTATCATTTCAATTAAAATGTTTGAAATTTATAACATTTGTTTAAATTAATTACCTTATAATTTGATACTTCATTATGGTTGTTCTATTTTTGGTAAGATTTGATCGTTCACTAATAATTTAATAAAAGTGCGACAACATTGTCGCATATGTCGTTTTCATTGGCTATTTATGTAGTTTGAAAATCACTTATTGCATTTTAAAAAAAATATATACAGGGTGTAATATTTAATACGAATCCCTAAATTAATTTTTCCAAAGCCAGTCCTGGAATTTTTTAGTTTAGCTAATACCAGTCGAATGCTTAATAGTAGTGTACTGTATCATGCAAAAATTAAAAAAATCAAACGAGCCGTATAAACACTACAGTAAAATGAATTAAATGGTCAATTACACAAATCACCCTGTTAATTAATAAAGAAGAGGAGTTGACATTTTTTAGTGGCCACATGATATGCTCCCTGAGGGACTCTACATATGGTAGAAGTATGTAAAGTTCCTCATGACTCACCCTGTATAATATTTAATAGGAACCTTTTCTTCAGAAGGCTGAATGTTTAAATGCATATACAGGGTGGTCCTTAAATAATTGTATAAAAAGAAACCGCAGATTCCACACTTTAAAATATAACGATTTAAGCCAAATTGCTTTAATAAAATGTTGATATTAAGAAAGATACAGGGTGTTAAAGTGCAAATTTAAAATTATATTTTTCCCTATAATTTTCATCTTTCTGAACATTTATGTATAAAAATTTACAACCGGATACTATTAAATATGAGAAATAATAACTTGAAATAATAAGATGCATACTTTGATGTAGCTGATAGAGGGCGCCATATATGCTACATATGTGGCATACATTTGCACTTAACTTTTTTGCTCTTTAAATTAGCAGTATTTGTTATCAAATAACAGTTTTCGAGATAATAACATTTTTCAAATCAATTGCATAATTCTGATTTAAGGCAATTACTCCAGTCAATGAAAGAAAAATAGACAAAACATCAATATTTCTGAATTTTGTTATAAAGTATTTTTAATAAAATTAATAGTAAACGAAATATTAAATAAAATAAATACATCAGCAGAATAATTAATAATTGGATTTGAAAAAAATAACAGAATAATTGGATTTTACATCAAACATTTTACGTTTTAAAATAAATTCAAGTCATAATCAAAACATTTTATTTGCAAACCAAATTAAAAAATAGTAAAAATAAATATCATTTAACTTTTTGTCAAAGTAAGTGTTCGATATTCCACCATTTTCTTTAATTCAAGTGTTAATACATTTCAATAACAAACGTCTTATATTAAATAGCATCACTGGTTCTAAAGAAACTGTTGCAGTATTTATTATAAGTATTATAAGTATAATCATAAGTATTTTTGGGATTTTTATGCATTAAGTAATTATATTAATATCTGACCACATGACCAAGCATGGTTCAATAAACTCTCATGGTAGAATCACAGAATAATAAACAATCAGAAGGGACACTCTCAGATGCCGCCTTTGAAGTTTTTCAGCACGCGCGCCATGTTTTAGGAGGACACAGACATATGATTTGTGTGGTTATGTAATTGTTTATATTTATGTTTAATTATATTATATTTATGTTATTATATTTAACAATGTTAATATAATTGTATAGTATGTCTATGATTGCCGTAAGTCAAATAAACCTGGTTAATTTTTCCATGCACACCACATAATTTCTTTAAAATCCTCCTAAAACATGGCGGAACGTCTGCGCGGAGGAGATGCGCGTACTTAATTTTCCGTGGAGAGTGGGTATTCTGTATGTTTATTATTCTGTGGTAGAATCTTGCGCATGACATTTGACACTTTTGACAGCTGAGGTCAAGCGGGTGTGACGTAGCAAAGGTCCCTGTGAGCCATTATTTGTAATTGTATTACTATATTGTGTAGTGGATTTTTTTGCAAAACTCGTATTGTTCATCTGTTTTTAGCGATATTATTCTTTTTTTGGATAGTATATATGTGTTATAGTCTGTATAGACTGATTTAAGAACATTTACTCGTTTATTTGCTTTCGTGTATCTGTTTGTTTTTTGTGAAATTTTGTAACTATTTCAAAATGCGCTGTGCAGTTGCTACTTGTAATAGTGACAATAAAGATAAAACCTTAAGGTTTCATACGTTTCCTAAAGATAGTGTGGTCAGGAAACTGTGGATAATATCCTGTTCTAGAAAGGATAATTTTAAAAGGATTTTACTTGAATGATTAACTGAATACTTTCCTCTGGAGTGGTCCAAAATGCCAACTTGGTACCTACCTCTTCTCTTTGAAGTTTTTGTTGATGATGCTATCACATCATTGAGTGACTAAAGTCTTAGCATATGCACATGACATAAAATTATTTCGTATTATTCTAGACCATTCTGATTGTATTGGGTTACAGAAATTATTGGGCAGTTTTGCGAATTGGCGTGTTATCAAATTAACTAATTGTAAAAAATTTCAGGTGATCCTTGTGTATTGATCTCATGAGCCGATAGTATTTAATTATAATTAAAATAATAAATTAATGTAATATGTAATAAAGTTCCTTTAAAAATTTATTTTTTATTTCCCAAAATACTTTAATACAAGTAAGTCCACCAGACATCCAATGAAGGTTCAATTATCATCGGTGGGTGTTTAGCAGCATGACATTTGGACCAAACTAGGATGTGCTTAGTACTAACACGAACTT